AGCCCTTGCGCTCCCTGCAGCAGCCAGGGCGCGCCCGAGGCGATTTTGTCCATCACAAGGACCGCGGGCAGGCGAGCGCCGACCGATGGGCGCGCCCGCCGCTGAGCCACGCCACTGCCCAAAGTGCCGGGCCCCCAGCCGCCTGCAGCTGCTGTCCGCCGCCGCCGCCGAGAGGCGAAAGTGCACGCCTTTCCGGGCGGGCCGCGGCAAGATAGCGATGCCCTTCAAGCAAACTCGTCCAATCGGCGTCCGCCGTCAACCCCTTGCAAGCACATCCATGCTGCCTCCGAAACCGCACGTCCTCTCCGGCAGCAAGAGCGAGGGCGAATGAACAGTCGGCACGTGGCTCAGGGGGAGAGCCATGATTCACACGCACCTGCCGTCCTCCTTCTCTCTCCAATGCCCCCCCCCCTCCGCTGGCAATTGGGGGCAATGTACAATCGACGAACATCGCTTCTGCGACTGGCATGCACGTGTGACGGGCACCCCACGCGCAACCCGGGGCCCCCCGGCTTCCACATCCCGCCTGCCCCGGCCTGCCGCCGGCTGCGGCCACGCGCGCGCGCCCGCCGCCTATTGCCCTCACCCCCTCATGCAAGCAGCACGGAAGCAGCGGCGGGCAGCTGCTCGAGCCGCAATCACGTCGCCAGCCCTCCCCCCATCCCCGAGCGGCTCACGGCGGTTCCTGACGTCACCGCTGCCGCCTGGGCCCCTTGCCGGCGCCCGGCAGCCGCACGGGCGGCGCCCCTCGCCCGCGCTCCTCCCCGAAACCTCCGGGGCCGTTTTCCAGCTGCAGCGTCTGCCCGCTGGACGGGCGCTCAGGGCATGTTCCACTGCAGGCTGGGCCACACTGCGGCACCCGTCCCAGGCACCCCTGGCGCCCGCGCAAGTCTAGTTGTGTTCCGAAGCCCACACCGGCGGGCGCGCGCTTGGCACAGCCCCCTGCAGCGCACGCGAGCCAGAGGCTTGGGCCGAGTTCCCACGGCGGCTCAACTTTAGAGCACGCCTTTTCGCAGATCATCCCTTCCGCATGCAGAAAGTGCGGCCTTCTCGCCTGCTGGATAAGGTTCCTGTTTGTCCTGCGCTCGCCCCAGCAGCGGGACGCGCACTGCGCGCGCAGCGGCAGCTGTGCGATGGCACTGTACTGCCACCACACTGCTGAATGCCTATCCGTCACGAGCCCGGTGCGTTGCATGCATATTTATCGTCCAGTCGAAACAGTACAACAAACGGCATCGTGCGCCCTGCTTATCCATCACTGGATCGGCGTACAGTAGATCGAGCGCAGCAAGCAGCAGTAGGAGGGAGCACCGCCATGGGGCGGTCGCGGTCACGCTCAAGAAGCAGAGACCGGAAGCGGCGCTCGCGATCGAGGTCGAGGGAGCGCAGCAGGTGCTTGGCGAGGGCAGAGATCAGCAATCGACACTCCTTCTCACCGTCTGTCTCTGTCTCAATGCATGAAGCCCCAACCATTCGACATACAATCGCTGGCGCCTGCGGACAAGCCAACTACGAAAGCGTCACCCTGCCTGCGCTGCTGTCGCTGCCGCGCTGTGCTCCGCGCTGTGATGCGCCGCAGCTCCCGCAGCAGCGGGGCGCCCAATCACACGCACGCCCCGCTGCGCACTCCAATGCAGGAGCCGCGACCGCGGCTACAAGCGCGCCCGCGACGACGGCCCCCGGGACTATGATCGCCGTGAGCGGGAGCGGGAGCCGGACCGCGACCGCGACCGCTATGGCAGCGGCGGCGGCAGGGACCGGGATAAGGACCGGGATAGAGATAGGGATAGGGAGGGGCGCGACTTTCGCGGAAGGGACAGGGAGGTGCCAGACCACCGCCACTCTGGCGGCGGCGGCGGCAGGGAGCGAGACTATGGGCGGCCCGGCGAGCCGCCGCGGGGGGACCCCCGCGGCGGCGGCCCCGGGCCGGAGCAGGGCCGCGGCGGCGGCTACGGCGGCGGGCGCGGCTACGAGCGGGAGCGGGATGACAGGGGCCGGGACGAGCG